TCCTGAGACTTTTTAATGTCTCTTTTCTCAAGTAGTATTAGAATTATAAATAGGATATAAATTAGTTTTCTGCAGGTCAGGTCAGTCATTTTGGAAATGTTCTCAAGGAATTCCCAAAATCTATTTGTGTGGTTGTATAATAAGTACAATTAAACTTTGGTGGGGAAAAAAAGGTAGTATAAGCTTAGCAAAATCCAGGTCATTTCAGTGTAACGTCTTTAGGTCTAAAATGTAGAAAGTTAAAGAGAGGCAGTGTAGTGTTAGTTGAATAGTCTTTCTCCCGTCCACATTCAAGAAGTTAATGCGCAGTTCACTAGAAGACGCGAACCAAGAATCATCCCGGGGCATCTGAGTCAGAGCATTGGAAATGCTGAAATGTTACGATGAAGTCACTGCCTCTTCGTGTCCTCAGATGCTTTGTCTATGTACTTGTTTTGCCTCTACAGACAAGAGAATACTTTTGTTTCAAGAACACTCTGAAAGGTACAAGAAAGTTAAGAGTTTTCTGGATGCAGAATTTGCTGTGGCATATGAGCACTAAGCATTTGAAAGTTTGAAGAAAAATAGAGTAAAGTCATGTTATTTCTGGTGCGTGTGTCTTGAGCAGGGCTTCTCCAAATTTGATGTGGATAAACATCGTGGAGTGGAGGGAGCAGTTATGAGAACGCATGTTCCTGGGTTTAGCCCCAATCTCAAAATTCGTGGAGCCAAAGAATCTACATTTTTAATAAGCATCCTAGTTTATTCTAGAGTAGATCCAGAGAAAACATGAAGACTACAAGAGTGCAATTAAAGGAGCGTGTCAATTGAGTTTATTCAGAACTTAAAAACACCAAGGGAAAATTAGAGAAACTTGGTCATCGTTCATTTTTATTGTGACTTGACTCATCTTTTCTGTAACCAACTTCCTTCAGATCTCTGCTCAAATACCATCTTATTGTGAAGCCTTCCCAATATACAAAATTGCAGTCCATCTACTTCCCAATCTTCTCCACTCATCGTGATTTACTTTTCATCCTAGCACAGATTATCATCCAGCATGTCATATATTTAATTGTTTCTGGTTTTGTCTCTCTCCCTATCCCCTACATTGTAGGTAAGTCTCTGAGGCAAGGATTTTATTTTGTTCAACGCTGTATCCCCAGTGCCTCGAGGGGTACCTGGAATGTGATAGGTGTTCACTAAGTGATTTTTGCATGAATGAGTAAAGGAATGGATGAACTTGTTTTGATCATCTTCCTGGCTCTCTCTTCTGACTTCTGTGCTTTGTGACAGTAATTTACCATAGTGAGATGTATTAAAATTATTCCCTAGAGAAAAAAGACTGAGAAGAAGAAAAGGAATTCATTTATGAACACCATTCTAGAATCATTGAGAGCTAGAGCTAGAAAGGATGTTCAAATTCCCTATTTTATAAATAAGAAAACAGAAAACTTATGCAGACCAAAGGAAAAAAGAGAACGACCCATAGAAATACGTTGACAAAGCCGGTGATATGTTCCACTGTTAAATAGATATATTGGTTGGGTTGAAGTTGAAACAGAAGAGAGAAGTAAAAGAAAATAGCAAAGATTATTAGACACTTGAAAGTGGTGTGTAGAACATCTGTGGTAATTAGGAAATTTGGGTCATGGTACATTTTTAAAATGCTTAAAAGTGAATGAATAGAAATATTTAACTTGAGTTTGACCATGCTATTTTGAATGGAGTCAAGAGAGGTTTTTTTGCCCATAATGTGTTTTTCGTGAATAGCATATCCTTTCTAAAAGTTTTCAAATACATCCAGTTTTAATATTTTAAGTGTCAGTTATATTGACAGCTTTGTAAATTAATCTTCTTTAGGCCATTTGTCTCCTTTACCTGACAATCTTTGTTTTCTCAATTTAAGGCGTTTCCTAAATCTCCTCCTGTGGGTCAGTTCACAGCTTTGCCTGTTCTCCTCTTGTTTCTGTCGTTACATTTCATTACTGCTCTCTGTTGGGCTCACCATTTCCTGCTATTGATTTCCTGTAAATTCCTCATAGCAGAGCTTGTAGGGGAGTACCTTTGAGAAAAGTATCTGAAAATTGCAACAAATATTTTACAAGTGGTTTCTCAGCAGAACCTTTTAGCCGGTTTCTTTTTTTCATGTTTAGAATCCATTTATCACAGGTTTTGCTATGTTTCCCATCGCACATTCCCATTCCCTAAGTGAGTGGTCTATCCGGGTACTAAGATTCCTCTGATTTGCTTGTTCTGTTTGTTTATCTAAACTTCGATGTTTCAGTAACCAACCTCACCTCACAGGCGTGCATGTTGGTGACCGTGCTGGAATGTGTGCTCACAGAGGGGGTCTGTCTGCTGGGTAGGTCTCAGAATGTGTAGTGAAACACAAGACTGAGTGGTGCATTTGGAACCTGTAATAATTCTCACATGGATGCTTTCTATGTTTTCACAAGGACAAAAAGAGAGAGAAGCAGGAGATAAGACTTAAGAGGTGAGGGGCGAAGAAGGTAGAGGATGAAACTGGGGGTTGACGGAGGCATGGATGTGATTAGAAGAAGCATTTCTCATCTTTATACTTTTGTCTGAAAGTAGAAATCAGTTTCTTTAGGGGAGTAAATAGGAAAGGGATAGCCAAACAATTAAGTTCATATTATATATCTTTTCTAATATTATTTTCCTTTGTTGTAATCTGTTATAAACTCTGATTATGAAATGATGATCCTATGATCAGTGTCCTGTATTGGTTTATATAGAGATTTAACGTAATCCAACTCATACGTTACTAAAAGAAGTGAACTAGGTTTAGATGATCTGTTGTCTCACGTTCTTCACCTACAGTTAGTTTCTATATCCATAAAGTGTATGCTTCCATCCCCTTCATTGTGATAGTCCAAGGACAACTTATTTTCTATAAAGTGCTCTGAGCTCTTTTGAACAAGTCCCTAGATAAATATAGTATAACTTTATGATACAACATTGTAGCCGTGCTGAGGATTTCTTAGCAAATCACAAGCCGTAGGAAAATTTAAAGTAAAACCAGTTAGGGTCTCATAGGATGGTGGAAGAAACCAATTTGAAACACTGTTCCCCTCCCCATCCCTTGAACATCCAGATCTATGCCTCTTGGAAGAACCAGATAAGGTTCTATGAAACTTGCTCTAACATAGACCATGATACTCTGTCCCTCATTTGTCCCTTACACAGTAAATTAGGACTAGTTACATTTGTATGAGCATGTCTCTTTATTATTATATCAACATTCCACATGTGTGTCCCTCATCAACTTCTTATAAGTCTTCCCTTATAAGGCTAGAGCCTTTTTCAGGGAAGGGAGTGTTTTTATGCACTAAGAGCACAGTTTATAGGTATAAGCATTTGTTGAGAAGTAGGACACCTTAGATATGTATGTGGTCTTTGAGGGATTTTGGAGAATAGTAATGGTGCTAAAATATAGGAGTTAGTCCAATATCCCAATTAAAATGAATAGTAAATAAAATTGGAGTGGATTTCACAAATTTTACAATAGTGAGCTCAATTTTTATTTCTAGTAAAATTCTAGAATGGATCCAGCAAACAGCACTTAGAAAGGCAACATTTCACAGAGAGCTTCCTAGACTTTTAAAAATGTTGCTTTGCCAGATACCCCCCAGGGATTATCTGCTTATAGACGAGACTGAGGGCTGGGCTGTTCGTAGCTGGCTGTCACTGAGGGGGCATTTCCACCTGTGAGAAGGAGCTGTAGGCTGTTTCGGGACTGTGACTTTTACCTGCCTTGGTCTGTTCATCATTTTTCTCAATGACTTGGTTGGATGAGGACGTAGGTATCATGTTTGTTTCTTAATCCTGTAATGATGCAAAACTTGGAAGCAATAGTGAATGTGTGAGATGTCAAAATTAGGATTCGATAAGCTCCTAAGAGACTTCAGAGTATAAGTAATATCTGTCAAACTCAGGAGGAGACTACCGAAATGTCTGACACAGTCTTAGCTGGCATTGTTAGGAATATGGCACCTAGATTGGAGAGACGATAGTACCACTCTGTTCTGTACAGGTAGGACACGAGTGGATGGTTTCCCTAAACACACTTTAAAAGTGTGTGCTCCAGAAAATGAGTGACGTGGAAGATGAGAGAACTTGAAACCAGCAGAGCATGTTTAATAGGGAAAGGAAGACTCTTCAGGGGTGTGAGAGGATCTGTAGATATCTAATGATATCGCATAAAGGAAGAATTATTAGATTAGTTTCAAAGGGCAAAATAAGGCCTAACAAATGTGGACAGGCAGGCAGAAAGAAAAAAACTTTTCAACAATTCGAATTCTTCAAGACAGAAAGTATTTCCCTGGATAATCCAGTGTGGAAAACTGCTGGTGTGATCCTGAAGGTCGTGGTGGCTATCAATACATAATTATTGAGCTGAATAAAAATTTAGCACATTTTTCTCATAGTTTCATTAGATGTGATTATATACAAATAGGATATGTTGATTAAGAAGATCTTGTGAATCAACAAACTTTCTGGAAATGGACAATTAATGCAACCATCTCTTGCCTCTAGGAAGCTGACCAAGTAGAGGCTGTGGAGAAAGGGGCAGTGGTGGTGGTACATGTGCATATTACAGAATGTGTCGCTGTGATTTAAATACTGTAAATACTTTGGTTTTCTTAAAGGAAATAATCCATCCATTAATATTTTCGAGAAAAAAATGAAATAGAAATCATCAAAATATGGACTTGGAGGTGTATGAGAGCTTCACTTTCAATTTTCAAAAAAACTAAATATAGGTTATGATATTTGGAATACATGTATTGTTTTCATGAATAGAATTTCATAAAATGGGTCACCAAATCTATGAGAAAGGACATGTAAATTTCTTATGCAAAAAAAGTAGAGGTGGAATTTTAAAGTATCTTATTGCAAGATAAGAAATCTGCCATTCTGTTTGCATTTGTCATAAATCCTTAATTTTTTTATGTATGTACTCAAGATACATTTATTTTTTCTCTGCTTATTTTTAGGGTACTTTGAATCCCTATTGTGTGTTATGGGATGACTCAAAAACGTAAGTTACAGATGTTTTCTTACATTACTTTGGACTAAATATTCAAAGCACATTAAGTGATTTCAGCTGCCTGCTAGTCAACAGAAATAAGATAAGTTAGTGAGATGTGAGTTACAGTCAGAGAGAGAACATTCCCCTTTTTAAATTTGCAAGACAGCATGATGAATGTGTTTGTATGTGATGATGCCATCAGGTTATGTCCCAAGATAGGACTGCATTACCTAATGCGTAAGGCACACTGTGATGCGAATTCTATGAGGATTTTTTAAAAGCTCTAATATTTTAAAATTATGGAAGCTCAAATGCTATTTCAACATTTTGCCCTAGTAATTCAACTTAGCATTGCAGAATAAAATAGCAATCTCTATGGTCGTTTAGCCAATACATTACTTTCATGACCTCGAATCTATTATCAGAGTAATGCAATATTTATACGGCTCTTCCAAATAGTTTTGTTCTAAAAACATTGAATGACATTTAATTTTCTTCATATATTTTATGAATTCATGAAGACAAAAGAAAATAATTGCGATAAATAAGGATGAATAATTCTTTCATGTATTCCTTTGTTTGTACAAGCAATTGCAACTATCTGGTCAAAATCAGCTTAATCACATTGGTGATTCTATGAGATTTTTTTAAGGTCTCGAAGAGCAGAAAAATCCAAGGTTAACTCTTAATTAGACTCCTATACTTTAAATACTTTTGTAGGTTTATTACAATGTAGTAGCCAGATTACACAATCTTGTTTTGTTTTGCTTTGTTATCTTTTGCATGGAGGGAGATAAATATCAATCAATTCCAAAAGCTAATACCACCTTGTGTATGCCACCTTGTTGGGTCCTACTATTCTAAGATTTTCTCCAGTGTTCTTCACACTAAATCTGATCTACATCTGAGGTTTTATGATGTTACTTGCCTCTCATCTGTAGTTATCAGAGTCTAGAAGGGAGACATTCTTAGAATTTCTTCTGACAATGTGCTCATTGCTAGGATACTGATACAATTTAAACTACAAGTATCTACGTGGGTGAGAAATCAATGATATTAAGCCTTTTTTCTTGCTATAGGTTCTGTTATTCTAGGGATCCTCTTCTCCTAGGAACCTTAATGCCATAAGGAGAATCCCAACTTGCTTGGTGTTAACATGAGCTGCATGTCCTCACTGATGTCATCAATTTTCTTTTTGAAAACCTATAGAGAAATCCATGGTAGTAAAATTTTTTTTACAGAGAAGACTTTGACAGTGTGTTCTAAGAAATTGTTTAGTATGTTGTATAGCCAAGGGAAGAATAAAAATCTAATTGAATGTTTTATACTCAAGAAAAATATGCCATCTTAAACTCCTACTTATAAATACTTGCATATTTTCATGAATAACAACCAACTTTGATTTAGTTTTATCATGTTTTTAGTGGGTGGGGAGTGCTTCTATGTTGATCCAAACAGGGGAAAGTGTTAGTTATTTCTATAGTCTTCTAAGACTGTTAAAGGGACGCTACAGAAGAAGCAGCAATCCCCTGTTTTGTGCGTTCTTGGTTTCCTCTCACAGATAGTGTGAGTGTTAAGTTTAATTTATAAAGCTGCTGGTGTCTGAGGCCACAAATGTTAACCTTAGGAATCAATCACGTTCTACTTTCTCTAACATCTGCTGGTAAAATGACTCTTGTCCATCACAAAGAACAGGTCTTAGCTTTACAAAATTCAACTTTTTAGTTGTCCTTGAAGAAAACTATTCAGTGAGAGTAGGTGTGTTTAGCTGCCTTTCAAAGCAGATTATCTCAAGAGATCAGTGTAGTTCGTGCTTCCTTGATGGATCTGCAAAGTGATCAAAAAGCTTTCCACTGTGACAGAACTTCCCATCACACTTTTTACCAGACTGTTTCATCATTAAATTGTTTTTCTGGGTGAGTTTTAAACAATGAAGGTTAACACAACTTTATGTTCTTTTTTCACGTCTGTTCTTCAATTTTGATCATGTTCATATACACATTATTTTTACTGATGCAATGATTTTAACTTTGAGTTTGTCTTCCAAGTATAGATAATAGTGAAGAGATAGGGCTACTTTTTATATGAGAAAGGGTTGACTTAAATGATGTTTTCAAGATTGCAGTAACAAAGTTGAAATTATAAATTGTCTTTTAATTTTGGTTTATCAAATTACCTTCCTTTTTATTTTTTTAAATTAATTTTTAATTACAAAAGTAATACGTGAGTATCTTTTACTTTTAAAACTTTAAAACATAACTGATGAGGTCCCAATGATCATCACCACCTTGGGACTCCACACCCATCCGTCTCCCCAAGGTCACTCCTATTTACATTTTTTACATATGACTTCAGGCGTCCATGGATGCACTGACACATGTATGCAGCCGTAGAGGTTAACACTATTTTTACGTAAATATTATCGTACTGTATGTAACACTTGGCAATCTCAATTTTTAATTCAACGTCTTGGAAATTTTACTACGTATATTTCATTCCATGTCCCCGCTGTACTCTATCGACACATCATAATTGATCTAGTGTTCCCTATACTGATGACCATTGAAGTGGTTTTCAATTTATTTGACTCTATAAACTGTGCTTCTGTGTACCTCCTTGTACATCCCCCCTTGAGTTGTCTCTGACCACTCTATCCAAAGTGTTAGCCTGTTGTTCTCTTTATATTAAACTATTTTATATTCTTTACAGCATGCATTCTGGCTTTCTTGTTTATTTTTGTTTGCTTATTGTCTGTCTCCCTCACTAGAAAGTAAGAGAGATCCTTTATCTTTCTTATTTACCACTGCACCCTCAATGCCTAGTACACCTGCATGTACTATACCTTCAACACATATTCATTGGTTAGTTTTGCACAAGAATTAATGTCTGGATATTTCTCTGGTACCCTTTCTACATAAGAATTGTTTCCACTTATGTTTCACTTTATTTGTGACTTACATATTTCTAGCAATTATTAGACCTAACGTTGGAAGTGTGAAGGGAAAATGCTTTGGCTTATTAGAGTACTAAGGTCCATCATAAAAAACTAATTTTATTTCTAAGGGTAATCTACTATCCTGATAATCCCAAACAAAGACATTTTACTTTAATCTGATTAGACACAGCAATTAGACAGTTTTAAAACATTTTTATCTTGCCTTGGCTAACTAATTAACAGGATGCAGAAAATGCTTCATCATGGACAACCCATGAAATAAACTGAAAGTACTTTGCTCACTTCAGAAATAGGCTTATTTTAGTTAGGAGAAGTATAGCTTTTTAAATTTTTTAACAGAGTTTACAAAGTTATCATTTGGGTGATTGATAATGTGCTCATTCTTAAGCTACCCTAAATTTGTATTTTGAGTATCAGGTCATGTGTGGTGACTACATTTTCTGGAAAATCCATTATTCTTCCTTTCCATTAACCTGTGGTCTTTCTCTATGGGTCTTATTAGGACCATCTGATGCTGTCAGTTCTGTGAAGGTTCATATTTGTTTTCAGAAGAGGTTTCTGAGTTTTAATTGCATGAATTTCAATTGTAACTTCTTACCTATTGCTAAACAGTTTTATCAATCCATTTGTAATTTATTTCCCTACCTAGTAGTTGAAAACAAAAAAGTTTGAGGACTGGACTTTCCATTTCTCTACATTTCAAATTGATTTATTGGAGCTGGGAGTAGCAATAGTCACCTCTTGGCTGAGACTGACACTGGCTTGTTTTATCTCCAAATTAAGTAATTGAATTGAAGTGATTCCTCTCCTTTGCTTCTGTTATCCTTATTTCTTTGTACTCAGAAAACCTTCCTCCTTTTTTATCATCCATATTGGAAGCCCCCGTTTCCTAGCAGATATAAAGCTAGCACCCCAGCCTCATCCCATCACTCCAGAGGGGTTATCATCATTTTCTTTGTTCTTCAGGTGACTGACGTACCTATGCCATTAGGGAGACACAACGTTCTACCTTTAGGAACATATTGTTTAAGATCTGTTGGCTCTTAGAAATTCAAAGCAACTACGCAAAGCGTTACTATGATTGGATACCAACCTGTCCCCTCCAAGCGGTAGTCAAAGGATAAAGCTCTTTTATAAGGCTCCATTCAAACTGTGCTAGACTCAAGGCAAACTGATATGGAAAGAGCTTAATAGTCTTACTATTATGATAAAGGAGCAAAAAGAACAAAGAAGAGATCTTGTTGGAGACTTAATTTATACAATAGTTAAGAGAGAAAATAGACCAAGAACAGCTGTGTAAACAGTAGTATGATGATCGGATTATTTTAGGGGAAATATGGAAGCATCCTTTACAGGCCTGCAGCTACCTACCTGAAGCCTTTTCTTGAGAAGTGATGAAAAAGGAAAGTCTATGTTCAAAATATTCAGCATACTTACAGTTGTGATCCCAGAAGATCAGTATTTCCAGAATTATTTGGTGATTCAATTAGCCAGAGACAGGATGTTAAAACTACTTAACTTCAAGAAGTGTTATTACTTCTATTGCATAGATTGGTCTGTTTTAAAACATGTTAACATATAACTGAGTATGTCATGGCAGTCAATACTTTGAAAATAAATTATGTGATTATATGAGAAACATATGACATTCAATCTTCCAGATTAATGTTGTTATGTGCAATCTCTGTTATGTCCATTGTATGTTCTAGGTGTCAACATATTCAATTTTACTGGGTCTTCTCTAGGTCATGTTTGCTTCCCTGTAGTGAGGCTGGTAAGAAATAACTGTTTCTGACTGGCACTTGATGTAATTCTGCCTCAGTGGGTGTCTTCAGAGCCCATATGGATCCAACTGCAGAGACAGTTAAGTTAAATTTTTGGAGTTTGCATCTAAGATGTGAGGATTCTGTGGAACTTCCATTGACCCATTCAGGTTCAGTGATCACTTCTCTAATGATATAAAACTATGTTTTGCTTTTTTCCTTTGATTATAGTCACACTAACATAAATGAGAATATTAGAACTTAACATTATCAAAACACTAGTCCTTGAA